TGCTTTCGCAATCGCCTCTGCTGCAAAAACGCTCGTGCAGTGAAAACTGCTATCGAAGCCAGTTCCTCGCGCGTGTAGTCTTTACTGAAGTTCACGTGTAAGGCGACCTACGGTCACTGACGGAATTAGAACGACAGAGAGGAGTTTCATTTGTACCGTCTCCAGCGCCACCTTCCAAACCTTCGATGGCACTTCGGCGTGTCGTGAGCTTCGAATGTGCACGCGCGCGCAGCCAAAGCACGGTGGAAGGCAGCGAGCGCGTGCTGGAAACCGGGCGTTCGAAATACGTGTCCTGCCGTTATTATCTTGTCGTACGCGTGTTCCTGCAACCGCAGTATACGGAGGAAGCTCGCGCCTCCTGGCCGCCATCATCTCATCGAGACAGCCATCGTTCCTCGCATCAAACGTTGAAAGAAAGAAGAAAACAAAATAGAGCGGAGTAATTGCGATCCTATCATTCCAGAAACCAGCAGAGTACAAAAAAAGTTCTTGTCTCGAGATCATCTTGATTAAGCCGCAAAAACAGGACATTTTTTTCTGCTTTTATTTTTATTTATTTTTTTTTTTTACACGCCGTGTGCCCACACACTGAGGCCGACACACGCACGCTCCGGCATTTTTTTTTTTTTTTCCCTCAAAGGAAAGCCGATTTCTCCAATTATAGGGTAGGAACTATAGCGGAGGTCAGTGTTTTCTTTTTTCTTTGTTGTTTATGTTGTACTTGATTAATTTATATAAGAAAACTTAAGCTTTCTTTTCCTAACAGTGTTGCGCCGCACGTTATGAAACACCCCCGAGCCAATATTAACGATGGCAGCCAGAGGAGGAGGAGAGCGTTGCCTTTCCCTCGTGCGATCGTGACTAATTTTAGAGACCAGAGGTACCAGAGAGTTTTTAAGCGGATGTCGTGTTTTAAGATAAATGACGTGCCTTCAAACATCTGCGACCTGTTACCGGGGGGGGGGGGGGGGGGGGGGGAAGGGGATGACAACTTGGAAAACTTGCCTTTCTTTGTTCCTTTCTTTTGTTTTCTTTTTTTTGTTTTTAAGGTACATGCATTGTGTTTTAACTCTGGCTTTGGGACGAATGGGACAAACAGACGTCTGCAGGAGCCCAAGTCAGTGCTTTTCCTCCTTGCGCGGTGTAGCGAAAAAAAAACATCTTTACTGTCTCTTGTAAATGCTGGGCTGCGTTTTATGAGAACATATATATATATATATATATGGTGATATTTTACAGAGGAGCTACCATCTATTTATTCTTTAAATACGCCACTGCTCTACCATTTGCACGCACAAAATGAACAAAAACGTTATGCAACCTAGCTCGTGATCCCACTTTCTAACGCTAAAAAAACTTCCTAGTAGCCTCAAAGGATCCTGGGAAAGTAGCACCAAAGGAACTTTCTGTTGGCCTCAAAGGATCCTGGATCCTGGGAAAGTAGCGCCCTTGCCGGGCGGCGGAGAAAAGCTCACCGGAGAAAAGCTCACCGGAGAAAAGCTCACCGGAGATAAGCTCACCGGAGAAAAGCTCACCGCAAAACCGGCAAATGCGAAAAAAATCTCACCGATTCTTTTTTTTTTTTTTTTTTTACTTAGCGGATTCTGCGTCAAACGTGGCAATTTAACACAATTCGCATTCGCCACTTCATTAAAAAAAAAAATGTCCTTTTTCTTGTAATATTCTTGAAGGTCATTGGGCATATTTACTAATTTCTCAGAAATTAGTAATCACCCATTCTGTATATTAATGAAGCCACAAAAAGGATATCAGAACATCGTACACTCGTAAAAAAGACAACAATTTATTGACAACTGAGGGTGCGCCGTCGGTAGCTCTGTCAAATAAAGAGGTTTGTTCTTTGTGAGCTAATATGAGTAGCGGTGTGTGAACCGTTTCAGCTCCAAATATTCTGTAGTGCCTAATAGTTAAGTAGGTGTTTGTTGATGCAATCAATGACGGCTACGCTGTGTTCTTCCTGTTAATTTCACTAAGAAAACTTTAGTTGCGAGAACAGCTTCGTCCTGTCGTGTTTGTTGTCTTCACTCCGTCGTCGTCGTTTGAGCGGTTTTCATTATGTATAACGTTTACCAACTCGCCCTATTCTTTACCTTACAGAAGACTATTTCTTATATAGGTCACAATTAACAACGGTGCCAGTGTGCAGCTCTGAAATTCATGAGTGGCTCACCTTAGAAGGGCACTATCACACACAGGCAACGTGCGGAAACACCAGCACGAACGGCTAGAAAACGTGCATGTCCGTGGAAGAAAGAAGCCTCGATATTCTACTGACTGTGTTATCCTGTTTTCAAAGGTTAATAAAAGCTTCAAAGAGAATTTCAGGCACCGCGTTGTTGCGCATGCACTTTCGGATTTTCGGTGTTTACAGTTTTGATTTTTAGGATTTAGGGAGACATAAGTTTTTGAACTTTTTCATGTTATTCAAGTTCATAAAATTTTTAGTTAGGCTTTAGTTGCCTAGAGAGTAAGCCGCAGAAAACACTGGCCCGCCATTATTATTTTGGGAGCAATATACTTAATAAGCTTGGCAAATAATACGAAAAAGGACATTTTCTTCTTGACAAAGCTGACGAACTTTAATTATAATAAATTGATATATGTTACGCATGATCCAACAGCCTCCATATAAAAAGAAAAAAAATCGGTGAGCTTTTCTCCGCATCCGCCGGTTTTGCGGTGAGCTTTTCTCCGGTGAGCTTATCTCCGGTGAGCTTTTCTCCGGTGAGCTTTTCTCCGGAGAGCTTTTCTCCGGGATTCGGGACCCCTTGCCTTCCCTGCCTACTAGCTGGACACAAACATATACTAACATACAGACGACCAAGCCTCCTCGTTAGGTGATCGACTGATCATTTTTAGTTGCCATGGCAATCGCGATTTCGGTCCATCCAAATCTTCGAAGCTTCGAGAGGTTCGCTCTGGGGCAGACTTGCCAAGATCGTTATGGACCATCATCGTACTGAAAGCGTTCCTCGCCAATATAAGCGTCTTTTGGCGCTGTGGATACAATTCACTTATCAGCCATGCTTACTCCACAGACTTTTTTTACAATGGCATTGTTGTTCTTGGGTATTTAAAGACAAGAAAATTATTTTTCAATACCGTCAAGCACCGGCGCCGCATGGGGTGGAGATGCGAAGATGTGCGTTTGTTTCGCCGGTGTCTAAATAACAAAATCTCTGATATTCGAGAAACTTCTCTATAAAGCTACCCGTTCCCAGCGAATTTAGAGAGGCTCACCAGAAATTTAGAGGTCAAGAAGAAACTGCTCATTCCTAGAACCAAAATGGCGACCATTCGGGGCGCTTGGCGCCACTAAAGCCCCTTTATGTTTTGAAAGTAGTGCAAGGTTCGTCGATGCACGAGGCACGTGCAACGTGCAGCCCTTGGGAAGATCATGGCGGCACAGCGCAGCACTGAGCTATACTCCGTTTCACCTTATGTTGTACCGCAGAGAAGGCTAGAAGCGCGAGCTCATAGCTTTGGGAGCTGCTCTTGACGCACGAGAGCTTGTGCCGCCGAGATGTGCCCTAGAGAAAGTCGCTCGCGCTTGTAGCCTTTCCTGCGGTATATCATAAGGTGAAACAGAGTATAGATTTCAGACGCCATGAATTTCCCAGAAGTGGCGCGCGGCACGTGCCTCGAGCATTTCTACAACAATGAATGGCGCTACTTTTCCCTGGATAGAGGGGCTTTAGGCGCCACTATACACTATAGTGCCACTTGCAGGATTCACTGGCATTATCTTGAACGAGCTACCCGTGCCACACGGGCAACTCAAATGACATTTGAACGATCGGCCAATCAGCGCGCGACACTCCGAGCGTGGGGCGTTCCACGCACGACAGATCGCGAGCCGATTCAACGATCACACGAATTTCATTCGTTGTAAATGGCATTCGAGTTGCCCGTGTGGCACGGGTGCCACACGGGCAAAACGCCGGAACGCCGGTTGTCACGCCGGTTGTCACGCTGACACTTCCAAAGGTTATTTTCCTGGTTCTTCTTACCAACTTCCACCACCTTTGTGTTTTATTTGGACCCTGGAACTCTATAAGGAGTATTCACTGCACGCCATATTTGTGGGTGCTGTTTAGAGCGCATGCTCAGAACGAACTCACATTACTAGGTTGCATAGACCGGCAATCTTGATGGTGTGGAATACACGTTGCAAAAGAACTGTGGAAGCTCGCCATGAGCACGCGCTCAGCAGTCGCGCACACGGCTATGGCCGTCAGTGAATACTCCCTATACTCAAGGACAGATTTATGCGGCTATTCAATCAAAGGTATACGGCCGGGAGCACGTGCTTCAAAGCGCATTAAAGTTGGACAAGCACGCGTACTCCTCCTTTCTTCGAAAACGCCACAGAAAGTTTTCCCCGGGTATTGACGCTTTTAGGCAGCTGTGTATGGGCGCCGCCATAAGCGACCTTCAGTGTTTGTTTCCCCTTATTCCGTTCGCTTCACTTCCTCATTGCCACAGCAGGACAGCTTATAGCCACTTTAGTTGCGACTGAGTCCCTCTCACAAGCATAAGCCTTTGTGGAGGCTCGTCGGCGCCCACTTTAGTAGCTCGGCATCTCGGTAAGACAAGAAAAGGTCGTCAATGGCGGCTCAATCTGGCGCGTGTTTAAAGCGTCCATACTGACGGATGGCCTGGGTGCCTTCATATGCGCTTTTCTTAGGGTGATGACATCTGGCCGTTTCGTTCCAAACGCTTTTGCTTCTTTTTTGTCCCGGAGCATGTGAAAGCACGTCTCCCAGCAAGAGTTCTTGGCGTTGACAGTGGCGGCATTTTGTTACCGGCCACTAGTTTGCATTTTTTCAGACAGCGTGTGCTGTCTGCATCCGATCCTACTAAAAATGACATCACCATAACCAAAGGGCATTGAGGAAACCTAGGATGACTGACGTTCATACTACGAAGGTCGGATGTGTTGCTCCAATTTTTTTTTCTCGTTTTATTTTTTTGCGCAGGTGTCCGCCGAGCGGTTTTCCAGCGGCGGCCCCAATGCGAGCTCTGCGCTCTGGGCCGCAGCCATGCAGCCTTCTTCGTCCAGCACCCTGGGTTCCATTGCGAGCGTACTACCCACCTTGGAGGCAGCGGCCAACAACACCACCGGGATCGGTCAGGACGGCCAGGTGTCCTCCGGCCAGCTGGACAGTTGGGACCTGTCCTGCCGCTACATCATCGGCACCTTCCTCTCACTCATCATCCTGACGGCCATCACCGGCAACATTCTTGTCTGCCTGGCCATCTACACGGATCGCCGGCTCCGCAAGCTGGGCAACCTCTTCCTCGTTTCTCTGGCCGTGGCCGACTTGTTTGTGTCCTCACTGGTGATGACGTTCGCGGTGGTTAACGACCTCATGGGATACTGGGCGTTCGGCCCCCAGTTCTGCGACATCTGGATTGCCTTCGATGTGATGTGCAGCACGGCGTCCATTCTGAACTTGTGCGCCATCAGCATGGACCGTTTTCTGCACATCAAGGACCCGCTGGGCTACGGCCGCTGGATGACCAAGCGTGCCGTGCTGGGCACCATCTGTGCCATCTGGATGTTGTCAGCGTTGATGTCGTTTCTGCCCATCTCGCTGGGCTGGCACCGGCCGTATCCGGACTCACTGCTTCTGGTCAACGGACTCACAATGTGTGCGCTGGACTTGACGCCGGAGTACGCGGTCACATCGTCTCTCATTAGCTTCTACATGCCCTGCGTGGTCATGGTGGCGTTGTACACGCGGCTCTACCTGTACGCGCGCAAGCACGTGCAGAACATCCGCGCCGTCACCAAGCCCATGAACCACAAAGACATGAGCCCCACCAAGTTCCGCAGCATGGGACAGTCCTCGCTGCACGTGATGGACCACAAAGCCGCCATCACGCTCGGAATCATCGTGGGCGTGTTCCTCTGCTGCTGGGTGCCCTTCTTCTGCGCCAACATTGTGGCCGCCTTCTGCAAGACCTGCATCTCCGAAGATTGCTTCAAGTTTCTCACCTGGCTGGGCTACCTCAACTCGGCGCTCAACCCAATCATCTACAGCATCTTCAACACGGAGTTTAGGGACGCCTTCCGCAGGGTCATCACGGCTCACGCATGCTGCAAGGCGCTCGCCGAGAGGGCGAGGGCACCCAGCGACCTCTCCTATCGCACCAAGAGAAGCACCATTTGCGAGACGCCCAGGGCGAACAGTGTGGCCAATTCCGCGGGATGCCGAAGCAACAACAACACTGCCGAACGCATTTCTCTCCGCGCCGAAGTCGACACCCGGGTCGAGATCAGCGTGAAGAGCGTGGGCGAGATCTCGGCCATATAGCAGCGAGTGTACTGCGGGGACACCGTCTTGACAACCACAACAACGTGAGGACACAGCGCCCGTGGCTTGCTCCCTCCAGGTTCCGGAGCCAGGCTGGCTGTTTCCCGTCGCGTGGGAGTTCTCCCTATGGATGAACTGTAGGGCAGATACTCCGTAGCGTTATGCCGCACACTACTTAGGAGCCCAGGCACGCTCGCCGCACCCCCTTAATTTATTACCCACTGCACCTGGCTGCAATGACGACCGGGTCTACCTGCGACACTACCTCAGCCTGCGGTCTTCCAAGCTGCTGAACGCGGACACGGACGGAAGCGTCCGTCGCGTGCGCTAGGAGGCGCTCTGTCGCCGGTTAGAGACCGGGTCAGCGTGAAACCCGACAATCGGTCACATTTACACAACCACATGAGCATCTACAAGCGGAGGCTGGTCCATGAACAGTCGGCTGTCGTTGTCGTTTTCCTGTGTGTGGATGTGAGGTTTTCTCCAAGCCGACTCTGCAAACGGTCCCAAAGTTGTGTCTCCCCGTCGCTGCCACGATGCCCTCGACAGTGACCGAACGCCTTGTCGTGCCCACGAGCATCACGTCGTATACTGTGTTGTGTGTTGTGTCCGCAGCGGGGATATGTCTCGCTCCCTCCCCTTCTTTGTAGCTTTTAGTCCGCGACCTAACGTCAAAGTGGCCTCTTTGGGGGTCCGTCGTCTCACGCTAACGTTTCGCGCGTGCTCACTCCGTGGCAGGTCAGAAGAAAGAAGAAAGACGAAGAAGAGAGCAAATAAATTCTCCTTGAAAACGTGAGGGACAAGACACAACCTGTAGATGGTAATCTCAACTGGACAAGTGCCGTATTTTTCGGTTGAATAAACGGATTTCCTGTTTTGTTAACGCCGTTCTTCGGTGTTGGTTGTGCTTTCTTACTTTAGCATGTGTAGACATATATGCATGTTCTACACTTTCCCGTGTCACTTGAAGCAATGCAAATTTTAATTGCTCGCGTTGAAAATTTCACAGTCACTACATATGAGTAGACCCTTTTCAAAAGTCAGAGTCACCTTGTGGCAGCCCCAAAAGTTCCAATATTGCCGCTCTAATGGCGGCGATGGGAGATCATGCCCGCTTAAATTAAGCACCCTGGATTTCGTGAATCGAAGGAGACGTAAAAAAAAAACATCTTTTCCGCTTTCTGTTCTATGATTTCGAAAGCGTTCGCTTCTTCTGGCATGGAGAAGCTGCGTAGTGCCGCCATTAAAGCGTCGGGTTTTGCTACAGTGTTTTAGCGGCGTTGGTTCTAGAAAGTTGTAGTGGCAAGAGCGGCGGCCGCCGCGTGAACATTTTGCGCGTAGACGACACCGTAGCGCTGCTGTTCTGAGCCTAGGAACATGCCCCCGTCACCTTCGTCGTCGGCGCTGCTCGGCGTGTACTACCGTTGTTTGACTGGAGCTTTTCGCGACGCAGAACAATTGCTAATGTGAAAATTTGTAGGTTTTCCTTTGTACTAATGCCTCTAGAGTCTGTGCTATCCTCTACTTTCATTATTCGCGTGTTTTTGATGGAGATCATTTGCTTAATATCGACTCCCCCCTCCCCCTTCCCAGTACTGATAGGTCGTTCAGCAACGCTATCACTTGGGATGCACGCTTAATGGCTGCGAAAGAAACCACACGATACTGATAAAACAAGGAAAAATAGACTAATTAATCTCAATAAATCTCACTTTTTTAATGGTGAGGCGGAACAATAAACTGGTGTATTGTTTTATGTCATCGTGTTGCTGATGCGGGGACCAGTGTTGTGTAAGGTGCAAGGCCGAGCGCGTTTGGGAACGGCCAAGATGGCACTGCAACTGGCGAACATATAGCAAATTGTCTTTTGTGGAAGGCAATCTATGAAGACAAAATACCTCGATTGAGAGTACATGAAGCACCAATTATGTCATCGTGTTGCTGATGCGGGGACCAGTGTTGTGTAAGGTGCAAGGCCGAGCGCGTTTGGGAACGGCCAAGGTGCCACTGCAACTGGCGAACATATAGCAAATTGTCTTTTGTGGAAGGCAATCTATGAAGACAAAATACCCCGATTGAGAGTACATGAAGCACTAAAATACAATATGAACACAAACTTTAACAACCCCTAATATGAAAAAAAAAAATTATTATCAACTCGCTGCTTCATGACCTCTCAAAAGTGGTAATACACTTCGTCGACATACGCAGCAAGCACATGACAGATATCCAGCAACATACTACGCAAAAAGATATACAAAATAGTCATAGTATAGTGCGGCATACAATCCTAACCTCTCCGCCATTGACGATGTGCACATAGTCCCGAAGGATAAGGCTCGGTTCAAAATGCCTCTCGCACACCGCTGATGTCTCGGCGAGGCGTTTATCTTCTCGATTAAGATTTTTTTTTCCACTGTAGTCTGCGGCGACTCCTCCTTTGGCGCACAAAACAGCGACAGCTTACGATCGCCGGTGCTCCGGCTGCCCTTGTGGACCGGGTAGCCCGACTTGCGTCCCGGCGCGAAGTAGTGTGTGTGTGTCCGTCTTTTTCCTTGCATTTATGACCGAGACGGTAACGGAACGGTGAAGACTCCCCACCACTACACCACAAAGAAAACTGCTACGGTTCTACGTCCGGGAGAAGTGTACCGCCTCAGCTTCGCCGTCTTCTTCGCACATCTGCCATCTGCCACAAATTCTCCTCACTCTAAGAAAAAGGGAATGTACACGGGTACTTCCCTCGTCCCATATGTAACACCCCAAAACTACATTTCGTCGGTCTGTCCACTGACGTCGAGCTGGCGATACCAACTTTTACGAGCTGCTGCAAATAAACGTGTGGGACAAAATGGCCAGATGTCTCCACCCTAAGCAAAGCGCACATGAAGGAACCCTAGGAGAGGCATATAGCGGGCGCCCCGCAGCGGCGAGACGCCGAAACAAACTTGACCCGAGCGATGGAATGTCCGCTCATGCTCCTTGCGTTCCTGGCGCTACCGCTTCGTTTCTCTCCGGGTTTGAAAACCATGTTTCGGGTACTCGCTGCTGCAAAAGCTGTGCGCTAACTACAGGCCCCCAAGAAATGCTCTCTGCTACCAGATCCTCGCGCTCCAAATATGCGACCGGGCACTCTATGGCTCCGTCGTTGAACTGCAAGACTTTTTAAATATCGAGGAGGCTGTGGCCAAGGAGACACGCGCGTATGTTGCATATGTATGAGCGTGCATTAACCTGTGCTGAGATGTTGACTGATAATAACGTTATTAGATTAACTCGGTTACGAAACGGCTCATAGACGCTGCTTGCACGAGCAGTACCCCCCCCCCCCCCCCCCCTCACTCGCTACGACTCGCCTCCCGTCGCTCGACGCGCCAGACGGCTGCTATGGTAACTGCAGTGCCTTCTATGGAATACGTACACGTTTCGACAGAGCCGTGTATGGAGAGGGTTTGGTCAACGGGAAGCGCGAGCAGAGGCAGGGCGTGCACCACTGCAGACGCAGAAAGAGGGCTTGACATGCTCCCTTGGCCAACCAGAAGCCGAAAAGAATCCCCTAGTGGTGGTAGCCAGAAACAGTTTCAACCATAGCTACATGGTTTTAATAAGCGCGTAGGAGTTAAATTTAGTCACCCTTCATGGTTGAAAATAGGGTGCACGTAACTCTGTTTGGCTCGCCCAGAGTGTGACCACTCGGACGGCAGATTCCCGGCCCTCGGCGCATGGCGTGCGGATTATGTCGATTCTTCTGCTAGTTGCGATCTTCCATCATGATCTTGGATGACCGTGATTGAAACATCCCGTGCACCATACTTTCAGTCACCGAAGGTTACTCCGACGCACTTATTAATTTCGTTTCTCGCGACCACCGGCAGGCAGAGCTTAAAGTCTGGGGGGTCGCAGGGAGTCTCGGCCCCTCCCCCCCCCCCCCCCCCTAGCTGATTTTAACGGATGGTATGAGACCCACCTCCACAGCCCCAGCATCGGTAGAATCTAAAATCAAATCTTGCAATGAAATAGCTTGTTTTTAGGTATGGTGACAGTTTGAGATTAGCAATTTAGGGGTGGCAGGTACAACGTGGGCAGGGTCAGCCATGGGGTTTATTTTATGTGCATCTGGTACATCTCGCCAACACCCCCCCCCCCCCTCCCCTTTCCACCCTCTCGTAGGCGCCCCCTCAACTTATGGGAGACTTTAAGCACTGCCGGCAGGGTGTTGTTTCCGGCTCCTGGTGGACCACATTCGAATTTGTGAAGACGCCCTGAAACACGCCCAGCCCGCTTTCGACCAATGGCGCCTCCTCATTTGTCTCCTATACCTCCCAATGAACGGCCAAACTCTCTACTTGTACGGCTCTGCGTTTCGAAGCACAGCGTCTAGAAAGTATTCCACTGTACTGGGCTCTATGGCGATTCAATGAACGACCAGTTTAGCCATTCATTGGGAAGTATAGGAGGCAAATGAGGAGGGAGCCATAGGCCTAGAACGGGCTGGGCGTATTGCAGGGCTTCTTCACAAATTCGAATGTGGCCCACCCGAAGCCGGAAATAATACCCTGGCGATGATCGCCACAAACGAAATTAATAAGTGCGTCGGAGTAACTCTCAATGACTGAAAGTATGGTGCACGTGATGTCTCAATCACGATCATCTAAGGTCATGGTGGAAGAGCGCAGCTAGCGGAACGATCGACATAATTCGCACGCCAGGCACCGAGGGCCGGGACTCTGCCAGTCCGAGCGGTCACACTCTGTCCGAGCAAAATAAAGTTCGAGCGGCCGCGTTGTTTTCCACAAGAAGACAACGCGGTCGAACTGGCAGATGGAAATGCGTCGTTTGTCAGTCAAGTTAAGGTTTTACATTTTGTTTTCTCGTTTTTGGAAATGTTAATAAGTGACTAATGAGGACTTGAGATGTATGTACGTCAGTTTTGTAATCGGAGCCGTACTAGAATGTTGACTACAAACATATTTATTTTCTATGTGGGCGAATATTGGAACTGCCAGTTCTGTATTATGAATTTAAAAATTATAAGCTTCGTTTGGTAGATTGGGTGTCTTCATTCGCGATATTTCAGTCAGTGATTCCCCTTGACGTCAGTAAGAACTCGTTCACGTTTCAGTAGCAAGGCTTTGCTGGTGTTTATTTTTACGGTTCAAACCTAAAATATTCGAACGAGGGAAAACAGTTGCGTTTAACCACGTTACATCGAGGTTGGACTTCAAGTTACTGCGACATTTGTGCTTCGTATGGCGCGTCTTGAGCCACTCAGTTGATTTTGTTGCCTCGCGAAGTTTACGAAGCAGGAGTGTATCGTTCTTTGCGGTCGTGTCTCGGCGCAGACCCTCGCTACTACTCAAACCCAAACGCTTGTCAATTTATTAACATATATAAGTCTCCCCTTTTCGCAATAATGCCTTTTAGGCGCTGCGAGGTAGCCTGAATAAATAAATAAATAAAAATGTGCGTCCCGAAGAAATGATAAAAAAAATTGCGGTGGCTTAGCTCGGCTATGCCGGGATATACGTAGCGTGAGCTTATGCGCACAAAATGAGAGGCGCTATCAAGCGGCTCCGGTGCAGCGTCAGATTTGACTACTGCGCAACGGGGGCGCACAGCTGGGCACGCGGCGGCGCCAGTGCGTCTGCCACGGCTATGACGTCACTCCTTCGGAATGCTCAGACCGGCGAGGCGGGCGCGGCGGCGGCAGCTCCGGTGCGCCAGTTGTTGTAAGCGCTTTATTGACCATAGTACAGGGTAAAGGGAATAGGGGAGTACGTCAAGTAGCTCTTGGCTTGGCCGCTGGCACATTGGGCGAGAAGGGAAGGGAAGAGGCTGTGGGGAAGGGGATACTTTTAAACAAAAAAAAAATCAGCAGTAGACGTCGATG